GGGCAGGGACACCTCCCACCAGCCCAGGCTGCTCCAAGCCCCATCCAACCTGCCCTTCAACACTGCCAGGGATGGGGCAGCCACAGCTTCCCTGGGCAACCTGGGCCAGGCTCTCACCACCCTCACACCCAACAATTTCCTCCTCATGTCCAACCTCCATCTCCCCTCTGCCAGTTTCAATCCATCCCCCTTGTCCTCTCCCTCCCTGCCCTTGTCCCAAGTCCCTCCCCAGCTTTCCTGGAGCCTTTTCAGGCACTGGAAGGTGCTCTAAGCTTTCCCTGGAGCCTTCTCTTCTCAACTCTCCCAGCCTGTCCCCAGAGCAGAGCTGCTCCAGCCCCTGGATCATCTCTGTGGCTCCTCTGGACTCTCTCCAGCAGCTCCATGTCCTTCCTGTGTTGGGGGCTCCAGACCTGGACACAGCTCTCCAGGGGGTCTCCCCAGAGCAGACCAGAGGGGACAATCCCCTCCCTGGCCCTGCTGCTCACACTGCTGGGGATGCAGCCCAGGACACGGGTGGTTTCTGGGCTCCAGCACACGGTGCTGGGTCGTGTTGAGCTTCTCATCCACCATCACCCCCAAGTCCTTCTCCTCTGGGCTGTTCTCAATCCATTCTCCACCCAGCCCGGATTAGTGCTTGGCATTGTCCTGACCCAGATGCAGGACCCTGCGCTTGGCCTTGTTGAGCTTCCTGCAGTTTGCACAAGCCCACCTCTCAGGTGGGCAAGGAAAGGAAAACATGAGGAGACCTCAGTTCACCCCATGGCTCTAATGCTGGTGGCAGCAGCACCACCACTCCATGCACTGTCTGAATCCTGGAAAGGGAATTATGAGAAATTTTTCCACATGGGGATGGCCAAAATGCTGCTGGGAGGCTGGGCATGGGTCCCCTGCTGCTGCTGAGATTTATCAGCCAGCGAAGTGTGAGCACTTCCAAGAGAGACAACAGGCCTGGAGCTGCCCAGGAGAAGGGAGTGTGTGCAGAGCTAATGGAAATCCCCCATCCTATGGATAAGCCCATGTATTCCAAGTCAATTTAGTCAGACTTAGTCCCTCTATATTTATATCCAATTTAACCCCCTATCATCCATTTACTTTTATTTAAACACTGAAAAATATCCAATTTGGATCTTAACCAGATGGTTTCCCTTCTCCCATTAAGCTAAAAAGCCTTTTAAGAAGAAACAGGCCAAGAAGAAACTGTTGTGCTAAATCAGAACCCAATTTTTCTGGTCATTGGCAGTTTGGAGGAGCACAAGAGACATTTGTTGGAAAATAAATTCCCATGCTTTCCCATCAGAGCACCATTCAGGAGAAAACTGTAATGAGGTATAACCATGACCTTGAACAGGTTCCACGCTTTATCCTGGGTCTTTAAAGAAGCTGGAAGATGTGAAACAATCCAGCTGTTTCCAGAGAAGCACAGATTGTTGAGATGCTTTATAACTGTGCAGAAACTCAATAAAGAGGAGTAGATTATTTCTCAATTCCATTTTAACACAAGTTGCTATTCCAGGTGCTCTGGGTTATACACTGAATATGTCCCCCTCTCCAGGGACCCCCATCCTCACCCAGAGCCCCCCTGCATCTGCAGAGCACCAGCAGCATCATTTGCTGTGGCTGGGGATCAGTTTCATAGCTCTAAGGCAAAAAACCAACATTAACTATAAACAAAAACAAATGGCAGACAATAATAAAACTTGTATCAAGATGTAAGAAATGAAGATGCCTTTGTGCAGCTCCAGCAGCTTTCCTGATGCTTCTTGTCTGAGACAATCCAGGCCATTATATTGATGATTAGGCTAATATGGAACTAAATGGGTTCCAACTGCTGCTTCCCTCGCCTGGAACGTTCTCTAATGGACTTTTATTTTTTTCCATTTTAAGTCACATCTGATTAAGTGTAATTGCTGTAAGTAGGAGAGGCTCATGGCTTTGCCCACACCCAGCAAAGATGGTGCTTTGGAGAGGAGTGATTTTGCTCTGTGACCCCAAAAATGGAGTGGTCAGGGTTGGAAGGGACCTCTGGAGATCATCCAGTCCAACCCCCTGCCAGAGCAGGATCCCCTAGAGCAGATCCCACGGGATCCAGGTGGGTTTGGAATGCCTCCAGGGATGGAGACTCCACAACCTCCCTGGGCAGCCTTTTCCAGGGCTCTGTTACCCTCACGGTCAAGAAGTTTCTCCTTACGTTTAACTTCATCCTCCAGTGCTCCAGCTTGTGACCATTGCCCCTTGTCCTGTTACTGGACACTGTGGAAGAGTCTGGTCCCACCCTCCTGACACTCCCTGTAGATGTTTATAGGCATTAACAAGTTCTCCCCTCAGCCTCTTCCTCTCCAGCTGAACAGCCCCAGCTCTCCCAGCCTCTCCTCACAGGCAGATGCTCCAGTCCCCTCGGCATCTCCGTTGCCTGTGCTGGACTGTCTCCCATATTTCCCTGTCCTTCTGGAACTGGGCAGCCCAGAACTGGTGGGCTCAAATCCCTTGGGAAGATGCTCTGCAGGCAGGAGGATGCAGGAGGACCCAGAGATGCACTCACCAAGGCCGCTGCTGGCTGGGATGACCCAGTCCCCAGGTTCCAGAGCCTTCACGTGCCTCCCGACCTCCAGCACTTCCCCAACTCCTTCGTTCCCTCCCACTGCCGGCAGCGGAGACAGGAGCGCGTAGGTCCCTGCCGGGAAGTCCCAGGTGAGCTGTGGAGTCCCCAGACCTCCCCATCCCAAAACTGGGCTCCAAACCCTCTGAGACATCCCACCAGGAGCATCCCAAGGAGAACCAGTGAGCACAGGCAGGGGGGGTGTCACTGCATGTCACCTTGGATCATGTTGATGTCGGCGGGATTGATGGGAGCTGCCAGCATCTTCACATGGACATCTGAGTCCCCCAGCTTGCCCAGCTCCAGGTCCTTTAGTCTGAAGAGGGAGACACAGGGGAAAAGTGCATTAATACAGGCTTGGCTGATGCCTTCTGCACCTGGGTTTAAGCAGGAAAGAGATGGCTGTATGACCCACACAACACAGGAGAGCACCCAGCACCCTATTCCCCATCTCATCTATATTGCCTGGTCTCTTCCAGCAAAGAAACACAACATCCAACTTAGATGACCCCATCAAGTGTCCTCTGCTTCCCAAACCCATTCCTGGGAGCAGCAGGGAACACTGCCCATATTCATCCCTGTACCTCACACCCTTAGCTGGGCTTAGGAACCCACCTCCTGCACCAGAAAAGCCCCATCCAGGGGTGATGATGTGATGATGTCCCCAGCCCCTTTGCCATGAGGCTGTTTCAAAGATGCTCTGGAAGAGCAAGACTGGATAAATAAATAAAAATCAGCACTACAAGCCACAGGGACCCATTCAGAGGCACTACTGGCTGATGGGCTCCCCAACTCCCAGCTGTAGAGATCCTTCCTGCCTCATCAAGCAGCAAATTAAATCAGTTTGGATTTTGCCAGCACATCTGTCTGACTGAAATCCCTGCCTTTTTTTTTCTGAAATGAGGATAAATATTGAGGTTCAAGTTAATGCCACACAGCACTAGCCCCTTGGGCATGAACCCACTGCTCAGATTGACCCAGCACTGCAAATTCAGATTGATAGGAGAGAGACAGACAGACAGATTTTTTGGATGGAAGCTCCTGAAAGCACAACGACCCAACCAAATCCCACGTCACCAAGCCAAGAAACACTCATGAATCTTAAGCAATTCAGCAAGTTGCAAAACAAAACAAAATAAAACCACAATTTCATCTAACTGGGGTTTTGATGGGATCTGCTGCCCTGCTTTACTGGTAAAGGAAGTTGGATATTCTCAGAAATCTGCCAAAAAGAGAAGCAGCCGAAAAGCACCAGACCTTGCACAAGCAGTGAGGGGAGGGCAGCAAATCTTGGGAGCTGACAGGGGTGACAGGCACCTTTGCACAATTAAATGGTCATAAGGAAAAGCAACTGTCCACCCCAAAAAATCCCCAGGGATTTGGTGTCTGGATGCATTGGATAATGCATCAGCACCTCCTGCACCTCTAGGGGTGACCTGAGCTGGTTCCAGTGGGGCAGCAAGACCTTGAAGTTTCCTGCCTTGAAAAAAATAGGCCTGAAATCCACCAAAAAGGGGCTTTTCCCCTTGGCTTTTTGGTCATTTTAAAAGGTGAATCTCATGAGGAGACCAAGCACTAGCAGCTGTCCCCAAAACCCTCTCGTCATGCTGATGGGTTCAATCCCTTCGTGGGGACCTCAAAGAGAAGCCCCATCAATGGGATGCAACTGAGGACAGAGTTGGGGTGCAGACATCACATCAGACCCCAAATTAAGCAAGAATGGGATTCCTGGGGAAAAAAACACCACGTGGTTTTAAGGCAAATGGAAGGAGTGGCAGCAGGTGGGTGGGGAACATGGAGGGAACCCCCCCACCCATGCCTGTGAGACCAGGGCACACTGTGGGGTGTGGAATATGGGGGCACCCTCAGGGTGCCCTCTGTGGGTTTGGGAGCCTCTGAGCACCCTCAGCACTGCCCTGGGGGTCCTGCAGGGAGCTGAGCCCCTTCCCCTGCAGGGGGGCGACCCCCAACCCCTCCTACAATGTCCCCCCCAAAGCAGCCGGCCAGCATCCCTAGACCCACACACCCCTCTGTACCCCTACTCCACACTGCACCCCTCTGCTC